CTTTCGTGAGTAATAGTAACCACGCGCAAGCTGTCCTGATACAAGTGCCTCTGGAACGCTCACTTTCGCTGGCGAGAGTGACAACGCGCAGCTCCTCAGGAATAGAGTCTTCTCTGGAACGTTCACTTTCGCTGGCGAAAGTGATAACGCTCACTCTTGAATTAAAACTTTCAATCATTCTCTTTTTCTGAGTTTTTCTGCTTTCTTCATATATTTTCCTTATTAAATGAGCTAGAATTATGCTAAAATATCAGTAAAAATATGCATTCATCAATATTTTAGTGGAAGATTTTGAAGCTCTTGGAACAACTCCTTCTCGAATCCAACCTTGCGTTTGGAGAGTTCAAGCTCAAGCTACCTTCCTCTCTTCATTTTTGTGCTACACTTAAGGCAAGGGGGAGTTCTCACTCTTTTCTTGTCTATTTGCTCACCCTTGGCTGTTTTCGTGATTTCTCTATGAAAAATAAATGTTTTGCTCCTTGAAAATCTCTTTGTATTGTGAATGAGTTCCATGCATGTTGATTTTGAGACCTTTCTTGCTTGAAACCTTAACTTCTGTTCTTGCATGTGTGTTACCCCTTCAAAGTTCTCATTTTTAAGCATTACATGTTTATTTGGCCTTATCACTTGCCTTGGTTTTCAATTGTCCCTTGCTGGACTTCTATTTAAATTGTTCCTCTTGTGTTAAAGTGATGGACCGTGAGTGTGTGCACCAAGATTTATCCCTTGCATGTTGTTTATGGTTTTAAAATTTCAATCTTTAACTTTGTATACGTCAACCATCTTAAAAGTTTCCATTTTTAAGCTTGCATGTCAATTTTAACTTGTATGCTGCCTCAGTTTTGTTCAACCTTTTGCTGAAAAATGTATTTAAATTCCTTTTTTCTTGAAATGTTGAGCCGTGAGTGTGTGTACAAAAAAATCCACTCTTGCATGTTGATTTGTTAGTCTAAAAGCTTTGATCTTTGGCCTTGCATGCATCGACCTCCTTGAAAGTACTTATTTTGACCATTGCATGTGAAATTTCCTTGTGTTTGGCCTCGGTTTTTGCTAGTTAAAAGTCCAAAATCTTGTACAAAGGCATTTCTACCTTAACGTGTTGAATGTTTGTGGTTTCTCTAAGAATTTCAGCTTGTGTGACCCTTGACACTTGGACGATGTTAGGAAGCGATTGCATGTACATTTTAAGAGGCCGTAAGGGTAGAAAATTAAAGGAAATTAGATGAGTTTAGGGGCTGGACAGTTTGGGACTTTGACATAAAAAGAGTGTTCCCTTTGTGAAATTTGATGTGGTGACATTGGGGAAATATTATGTGAGTTTAAGGGAAAGTGTTGCTTGTTGTTTTCAAAAGTACATGTGTTGAGAACTTTGGAAATCATTGAGATAAGGCGCTGGACAGAATTGGAAAAGTGTTCAAGAACAAAGTTCCATAAAAAAGAAATGGTAGGAAAAATCGTTTTAAACAAAGAGTAAAAATGTGGTGAAATTCCTTGCTGAAAATTATTTGGACAGCATTAGTTTTACCTTTAAAAACTTGTTAAAGTAACCCCTAAGGTTTGGTAAAATTGCCTTGATACGCCTTAGTTCAAATTAAGACTTTTTGTTAAAAAGAAAAGGTTTCAATTTATTTTTACCTTAAGAAAAATGGCGCTGGAATGTGTGAATGAATATGTGGAAGTGCTTATAACTCTAAGGGTAGCCCCATGTGAATGTTGGTTATATGCTCATGAGTTTAGCCGTGAATAGGTGTGTGAAAATGTTGAATTGCCTATGATCTAGGTGCTAAAAAAGGTGTGAATGGTGTGTAATGTGCGTCACTACTTGTGTGTGTGATTTTGAATGGACAAACGTGAAGCATGAACGCATGAAAGACCCAAAACATGAAAATATATGTGGCTGGAAATTGATGAATGATATGCCCTTGTGATGGATTGGTGATGTGTTAATCAATTTGGAGTGTTCATGCATCATGGTTTTCTAATAAGACAAGAATCTGATGAAATAAATATGGTGCAACCTTTGACTCTAGATTTATGATGTTGATAAGTTAAGTTACTCTTGGGATTTTGTAATCCAAAATGAACTTGTGGCTTAGTAAATGGATGGCTTGTGGCAAGTAAGGAACCGAGAGTGTAAGGAGGTAAATGGTGTGAATAACTTGTAAGAAAAGAAAGAAAACCAAGAGAGAATACTAGGAGTGTGTGGTAAGAAGGTTTAGAACGTGTGAAGGATTAGAAGTAACTAAGTTATGTCCAAACTTCAAAATTAAAATGGGAAGCCGAGAGAATAGGTAGTTTGTATTCATGTGAGGAAACATACTTAAAACAAAAGATTAGGTGGGAGCTAGGCAAAAAGAAAAAAAAATAAAATAAAATAGAGGTTCCCTAACTAAAGAGAGCAAAACCAAGAAGAGAAACCTAAGTGAAAGTGTGATTCAATAAAAGTGAGTTAATAATTTAAAAAGAAATTAGAGGTTAACTTAATGAGAAAGTCAAGATGGGAAAAGTAGCGGGCAACAAGAACACTTGAACTAAAATATAGAAGAGAGAGAGAGGATGTGGATTTAACAAAGGAATGGTGAATGTAATAAGCCACTGAGTCTTGATATACTTAATAATGCCCTACCCTAAGAATTGTGAGAAGTGGAACCTATCCACAAGGATGTTTGAAACCATGGAATCTATCCATGTCTCTAAGTCGTTTGACTGGAAACTTGCATCGTTATATTCTTTCCATACGATGCTGGGTTGTTGTGCTTAATTCTTTTGAAATGAGAAAACTATTGAATAAAATTGAGGATGTCACTTCATGCATCATGTCATTGTGTGAAACGACTCGAAGGCAATTACAAACGCACAACTTGAAGGTGTGGTAGGTTCGGTCCCATGGTTGACCTACTAGGAGTGGTGAAAGGGGATCTAGAGACTCAAGTGGTAACACGTAAGAGGCGCGCCTGCAGCCGAGTCATGATCCACCTGCAGACCTTAGCCAAACCCGACAAGGACCGCGCATTCTATGGTCGTCGAGGTCCATTCCCGAAGAGACCCACTGAGGGGCCAAACACCATTGGTGTTCTTTGATGCTGAGCGCATCCGATATATGTATAAATTTTATACTGTTGTGCAGAACGATGCAGGGAATGGAGTCCTCCGATCGCCTTTTCGACTTGAATTGTCTAACTTTATGGTACAACTGGGAGAGTCGCCAGTCATAGAGGATGGGATCCCCATGCATTCCATGTGCATATGATTGAAACATAAGAGGCAACCTCTGTGAGGCTGAAACTTGCATCATGCATCATTTACATTACCTTTAGAAAATGAATTGATTGTGAATGATCGTGATTGAGACTTCGAAATAAATCTATGTTGTTTCATGCACATCGTATGTGGTCATGTCTTGAATATCCTAGAAATAGTACTTGCTGTGGTGACTGAAATTGATTATGTCTGAGATGCCGCCTTCCTTGGGGCATGGCAATTACTTGTTGTTTGTATTTGGAGAACTCACCCCTTGGTTCGTTGTTGTCTGTCTTCTTTCTATATGTTTAGATGGCCAGGAACAGTGCACAGATGCTGATCATTCCCTCTGAGGAAGACATGTGGGTGTATGACGCCACGGCCCAGTAGAGTATATTTCGTGGCTTCGCTCGCCTCAGCTATGGACAAGAAAGTGAAGGCTCTTGGTTGACCCATCTTGTAGCCGATACTCCTATTGAGATTGTTTTCTCTATACCCTCTGGTGATACACAGTTACCCTATCCCGCTTTGAATACTACCCCCTCACCTATGTCTGTCGACCATTCTCCTACCCCTGGACCTACTCCCCAGCCTGTACCATTCCCTCCTTTCCACACTGACTCCCCACCTGAACCTGCTGAGAAGGATGTCCATGTGGTGGAATCCTCAGTGAGGTGTGGAGCTAGACCATCTTACATGTCACCCACCTACTGATCGCCCCATTCCCCTTTTGTTTTCTCTCGCTCGCCTCCTAGCACTGCCGGTTGGATTGAGAAGAGTGATGGAGAACCTGCTATTGCTGCTGCTGTGTCTGCTTCACCTACCTCGTCCGAGGAGTGTGATCCTATAGAGGATTATTCCCCTCTCGATTGATTTGGGATAGTTTATCTGTTATTGTTAAGGAACTGCTCTTAGGGAGTCGACTATGTTATGTTTTGAAATTTCAGATTCTGCTATTTACTTCCTGCTATGCTTTAAGTTCTATGACTAACTTTGTTGAATCATTTCGCTTCTATTTACTGGGGAAGTAGCTTAATACTAGAGATATGTTGGCATGATTTCTCTTTAACTCAATTACTATGATCTAAAGTAGCGAACCTCTAATGAGGAAAGAATGTGTTGGTTGAAATGACGTTGTGCACGTTAACTCTCTCACCTTGCAAAAGAACTTTTACCATGTAAAAAAAAAAAAAAATGGTCTCAGATTTTGGTGTTTTCTGTATGTGCGATATTAGAGATATGTTTCTGCAATGTGTGGATTTGGGTCGTTACAAAGTTGGTATCAGAGCAGTTCGGTCTAATTGGCCTTGGGCATGGCGTTACTGCCCTACTTCTGTGTTATCTCTGAATTGTTTGGATGCCCTTAAGGCTTGTGTAGTAGACTGTTGTGATTTATGGTATCTTATTGTGATTTTTTTTTTAATTGATGTGCTTGCCTGTATTTCAGAGCTGCTATGACTAGAAGAAATAGGGATGATGCTATGGAGCATTTGTTAGGGAGAGTTGTGGACATTCTGGAGAGACAGAATGAACCAACTCCTAGTCGTGGTCTGTCTGAGTTCCGCAAGAACAAACCTTCCCAGTTTCGTGGTGAGTTTGATCCTGACGGTGCTCAGGTGTGGATAGATGAGCTGGAAAATATCTACGAGGCAATGAACTGTACTGAAGAAGAAAAGGTCACCTATGCTGCCTTTATGCTAGTGGGAGAAGCTGAACATTGGTGGCGGATGGCTCGCCAACAGTTGGATAATGAAGGATGAATGGTTGATTGGCCGACGTTTTGTCGCCGTTTCCTTGAGAAGTACTTCCCTGAAGTCATAAGGAGAAGGAGAGAGCAGGAGTTCCTTACTCTGAAACAGCGACAGATGAGTATCGATGAATATGCGGCAAAGTTTGAAGAGTTGTCAAAGTATTGCCCTTACTTCGCACAAGCTGATGACAGAGCTCATTGCTCTAAGTTTGAAAGTGGACTGCGTCTCGACATTAAGCAGGCCATCAGCTGTCAGCATGTACAACACTTTCCAACTCTGGTGGATAGGTGTCGTATCTATGAGGATGATACGAAGAATCGCCAAGCGCTTTGGAAAAGTTCTGGTCCTCAGCGTCCTGCAAGCAGTTTGGGTTCTAAGGGAAAGGGAATCCAAGAGAGGCACAAGCCTTATTTTAATCCAGCACGTAGCTACGGAGCGAACCTACTAGAAGTCAGAGGTCTAGTAGTGGAAGTGTAAGTCGACCTCCTCTGGTGTGCTACAACTGTAGAAGTCCTCACTTTAGGTCAACTTGTCCTCAACCTCCTGTCCAGTGTCCTAAGTGTCACAAGATGGGACGTCTTGGTCGCTTCTGCAAGCAACCCAACAGGAATTTTGTTAGGGATAATTGTCCCAATCTGAACCAGAATCAAGGACCCCGTAATGGGAGTAGTCAGAGTGGAGTGAGAAACCAGAATTCTAGTGGTGTTTCCCGAGCTTCCATTGGGAGACCTAATACTAGAGGGAGAGTATTTACTATGAGTGGTGCTGAAGCTTCTAAAGCTGAGAACCTAATCCAAGGTACATGCTTTCTAAATGGGACTTCGCTAAATGTGTTATTTGATTCTGGCGCCACACACTCGTTTATTTCTGAATCCTGTGTGATGCGATTGAAATTGCCTACTCTTGTGATGAAATGTGATGTGACTGTTTCTACGCCTGCAAATAATCCTGTGATAGCATCTCATATTTGTTTAAATTGCTCATTTCAAATTGAAGGCAGAAATTTTTTTGTTAATCTGATCTGCCTGCCTTTATCTGAGTTAGATGTCATTCTTGGAATGGATTGGCTTTCGGCCAACTATGTCTTGCTAGACTGTCAGAGTAAGACCTTGTCTTTCAATTGCCCTGATTTGATTAGCTCAAGTGGTAGTGGAGTTGAGAAATTGATTGTCTCAACCTCTCTAGCTAGTGGTCTGTCCTCTACTGAGGTGCAAGCTTTTGTCCTTTTGGCCTCATTAGATGCTGAAGAGAACGTTAGGCTAGATGACCTTCCTGTTGTTTGCGAATTCCCTAAAGTGTTTCCAAATGATATTCTTGGTTTACCTCCACCTAGGGAGATTGAGTTTTCTATAGATCTAGTGCCTGGAGCAGGTCCGATCTCTATAGTGCCCTATAGGATGGCACCTGTAGAGTTATCTGAGTTGAAAGTGCAGTTAGAGGAGCTTCTGGCTAAGCAGTTAGTGAGACCTAGTGTTTCACCCTGGGGAGCCCCCGTTCTGTTGGTTAAAAAGAAAGATGGAAGCATGAGACTGTGTGTTGATTACCGGCAATTGAACAAAGTTACCATCAAGAACAAGTACCCACTACCAAGGATTGATTATTTGATGGATCAATTGAGAGGAGCAACTGTATTTTCCAAGATAGATTTGAGATCAGGCTATCACCAAATCAGAGTTAAAGAGGAAGACATACCAAAGACTGCTTTTAGGACTCAGTATGGACACTATGAGTACCAAGTTATGCCTTTTGGGGTAACGAATGCACCTGCGGTGTTTATGGATTATATGAACCGTGTGTTTCACCCCTACTTGGATCAATTTGTTGTGGTTTTTATTGACGATATTCTTATTTATTCTCGTAATTTAGAGGAGCACTCTGAGCATTTGAGGATTGTTTTGGGGATCTTGCGTGAGAAGCAATTGTACGCCAAACTCTCGAAGTGTGAATTTTGGTTGGAGGAAGTACAATTTTTGGGACATGTGATCTCTAAGGAGGGTATTGCTGTAGATCCTTCTAAGGTTGAAGCTGTTTTAAAATGGGAACCGCCTAAAACTGTTACTGAAGTTAAGAGTTTCTTAGGACTTGCTGGCTATTATCGACGTTTCATTGAAGGTTTCTCAAAGATAGCCACGCCTTTAACCCGTTTGACTCGTAAGGATCAACCTTTTGAGTGGAGCCAGAAGTGTGAAGATGCTTTTCAGAATCTGAAGACGCGATTGACCTCTGCGCCAATCCTGATTCTTCCTGACCCTCATGAGAAGTTTCAGGTATATTGTGACGCTTCACACAATGGACTTAGATGTGTACTGATGCAAAATAGAAAAGTGGTGGCTTATGCATCTCGTCAGTTGCGTCAACATGAAAGGAACTACCCAACTCATGATCTTGAACTTGCAGCTGTGGTCTTTGCACTCAAGATGTGGCGACATCATCTCTATGGAGCAAGATTCGAGGTATTCAGTGACCATAAAAGTTTGAAATATCTCTTTGACCAAAAGGAGTTGAATATGCGTCAACGACGATGGATGGAAATTCTCAAAGACTACGATTTTGAGCTACACTATCACCCTGGCAAGGCAAATGTTGTAGCGGATGCGCTAAGTCGTAAATTACTTCATGTGTCGATGTTGATGATCAAGGAGTTAGAGATGATAGAATCGTTCAGGGATCTCAACTTAGCAACTCGCTTTACGCCTACAAGTGTGGTGTTGGGAAACCTCAGAATCACTAATGAGTTCTTGGAGCAAGTGAAACTGGCTTAAAAGGATGATGAATACCTGTTAGGAAGGCTCGAAGCGAAGGCGAAAGGAAAAGAACCTTACATCTATCAAGATGAAGCTGGAATCATTAAGTACAAGGAGCGGATCTGTGTTCCTGAAAAGGACGATTTGAGGAAAGTAATCCTAGAAGAGGCTCATAAAAGTGCCCTTAGTATCCATCCTGGACCTACCAAGATGTACCAAGATCTGAAAAAGAGCTTTTGGTGGCCTGGAATGAAGAAGGCTGTAGCAGAGTTTGTGGCTGCATGCCTGACGTGTCAGAAAGTGAAGATAGAACATCAACGACCAGCTGGACAATTGCAACCATTGAACATTCCCGAGTGGAAGTGGAGCGACATTGCGATGGATTTTGTCTCTAGATTTCCAAAGACTAAGGCTGGATGCGACGCTGTGTGGGTAATAGTGGACCGACTCACCAAGTCAGCTCATTTTCTTCCGGTGAATTTGAAGTACTCTCTTGAACGATTGACTCAAATCTACATCAAAGAGGTGGTGAGACTCCATGGTGTGCCAGAAAGTATCGTATCAGATAGGGATCCTCGTTTTACTTCAAGGTTCTGGCAGAGTCTTCATCAAGCATTAGGAACGAAATTGAAGCTTAGTTCAGCTTATCACCCGCAGACCGACGGACAAGCGGAGAGAACCATCCAGACTTTGGAAGACCTTTTGCGTGCTTGTATGCTTGAACAAGGCGGACAGTGGGATTAACACCTCCCGTTGATCGAGTTCACATACAATAATAGTTATCACTCGAGCATCGGCATGGCACCATATGAAGCACTGTATGGACGACGATGTAGAACGCCCTTGTGCTGGTATGAAACTGGTGATAACTTGCTCATTGGACCCCATATGATTCAAGAAACCTCCAAGAAAATTAAGGAAATTCAAGAAAGGATGAAGATGGCTCAAGATCAGCAAAAGAGCTACCATGATAAAAGGAGGAAACCTCTGGTATTTGAAGAAGGAGACCATGTATTTTTGAAAGTAAGTCCGACTACTGGCATTGGAAGAAAATTTGATCGCGAGTGTCGCTCTCGGACAAATTAATAAAAATCAAATTGCATAAAAATTATGTAGTAAGAGGTGCAATCTGAGTCGTCTCCCAACGATGATAACGTTATACGATTAAAAAAATTTTAGAGGGGGTTTGATTTATAGAATAACTAATTAGAATCAAAAGTTAAAAATAATTAAAAAAACTCTAATCCAAGAATTTAGAAGAACTACGACCACTCTATCATCGGATTCCAAGAAGATGCATCAACCAACAAATTAGTGATTAACATTAAATTCGAATGAAACCTCAATTCAAATTAAGCATTCACATGAGAACCCTCATGCATTCGATTAACACACAATTCGCTCAAAGTTCAGAAACCTCTAGAACCTAATCGATTTGTGTTAATTTAATTCACCAATGCCATTAATCTTAGATCTCAAACCTGAAAATCTAATTCAAACTCCTTCAAGAATTAATTACATACATCAACCGAATAATATATAATCAAACAACTGCACAATTATCAATCCAAACGAAGAACTTCAATTCGAAATCATAATTAGCAAAAGGAAAAAGAAGGAAGAGATGAAACCGAATTTGTTGTTGAATAAATTGCGAAACTGATCCTCAAGAGTGTCTCAATCCTTTTTCAATCCTTGGACTAGATGAAAGTCTAAGCCTCCATTAATGGAGGAAAATGAAAAGTAAAAACGGAGAAAAAAAAAAACGAGAGAGAAGAGAGAGGAAGAAGAGAGGAGAGGAGCCAAAAAAAACAACTTAAAATTCAAAATTCAAAATTCAAAATTCTGTTCGTCACTTTGTTCCCTTTTTTAGGCTATGAAGACGGCCTCTTTTTGGTTCGTGTTCTGAAGTACAATTGTAGCCTTGGATGTTAGCTTCAAAACGCCACTGGAATGGGCTTAATCGGACATCTATGGACTAAGATATGGCCCAAATACTGCACCTTGCTCAGGATCTGCGACTGCAGCGTTCTGACTTTTTCCAGGCCTAGTTTCAGCTTCTTATCATCAGAATTGGTTTCTTACCTCTTCATAGGAATTGTGCACCTTTCTCTTAGCTTTCCTACAAATCAAGAATCACAATTAAAGGAGTTCTACAACTCAAGATATGGTCCAGAAACCAAAACAGTATCAGAATTTGCCAAATACTGGAAAAATTAAATAAAGCCCAAAAAAAATCCAAACATCATAAAATGATCCAATTCAACCAATTAGGCACAAAAGAGGATTAATGAGCTAGGAATTAGAGGAATTAATGTTACAAAAATCCAATTGATCAAATTCCCCCACACTTAGCTCTTGCATGTCCTCATGTAAGACACAATTAAGCAAATAAAAACATGTAACCTAAAAAATCATAGAATAATCAAAATAAATAAACAAATTCTCCTATGAATCCTTAGAAGTGCTGAACTAGGGACACAAGATCAAATAAAGCATCAAGAGTTCTACAACAATCAAACATCCAACTCCCAACCTCTCAAAAATGCAAGCCAAGCAAAATCATTCAAAGTGTAAAGATCAAGCATGAAAGATCTCACAAGATGGTGTATACAACTCAACTCTCAAGTGTATGGTTCAAAGTGTTTCACTCAAGTCACCTCAAAAGACAATGCATTACCATAAGCTTGTTAATCTTCTACTTCTCCACTACTTACAATCATATGCAAACAC